TATGAGCCCATAAAAAAGCGCTTCCTGATCAGATGCATGACCCTCTCTACCTCCTAAATGGCCCATGTCCTCATGTACTCTTTGTAACCAGCTTTTGGAACTTTTGGGCAAGAGCGCTGGATGCGGGGAGGCTGTTTTCGATTAAAGCAGTCCATCATTCCTATTTGAAGTTTGTGTTTTTCTCTGACAAGGGTGGGCTGCGATTTTATTGTGAGATGTTTTATACTTTTTGGCCATTGCTTTGACACTCACATATCCCAAACATCTCCAATAACTGTGTCTTCCTCTTGAGCTCTCTTCAAATCAGCCTTTGATGTTCAGCCACTGAGCTCATTTCCAGATCTTCTGCACTTAATAATAGTGGAAATAGTAATCCTGGGACAAGCCAAGGTCATTCACTTGTGACTTCACTTGATGCTTGAGCCACACATTGCCTAACTTCAGGCTGAACATCTTGCGTGCATTTGCTGCATGTATTGCTCATATCTAAGGGCATACGTGAGAGGCCGTCTGCATCACCATTTGCTTTTTCTGGCCGGTACTTAATGACAAACTGGAAATCGCCAGCTATGCCATCCACCTCAGTGTTGGTGTGTTTGCATTTAATTTGTGCCGTTGGTGAGACATATGTAGGGGATTATTGTTCAGTATAGACAGTATATGGGGGCATCGTATAGAAAAATCCCGAAACTTCTCATATGGCCCACTTCAGGGCAAGGAACTCCAGTTAGTTTCCTGAATGAAAGGTGATTGTATTCTCTCTGGATTTGTAAGCGTCCTGGAGCATAATGCTTATGATACCTGTTTTCCCCGTTTTTGCCTCTGGTAAGCACTGCCCAAGTCCTTCTTGTGAAGCGTCACAATGCAAAATAAAGGGCTCTCAAGTTTGGGTAAACCCAACATAGGGGGCTGGGAAATAAAACAGTCAATGAGTTGGCTCAGCACTGTCTGATGCGCAAAAGACCCACTTGATTTTCTGGGACGAAAGGCAGTTGACACCCCATTTTGTTTCAGTTTACATAGTTTCCTAGTGTTTGGATTTTTTTGTATCGATTCTTTATTTGCTAGGCGGTCGCCTCAGAGGCTGTAGCTATGCAGAGACGTTTGGTAAGTATAGTCTCTTTAATACGAGACAAAGCCCTAATAACTTTCTTAACTCTCCTTTAGTGGAGCTGGTCTGTTTTAACGCTGCACTGGGGGCAACTGTCCCGCAGAACAAATTCAAACTCATATTAATCGCCCAATCTCGCTCCACTTCTCGTCCTCCTTCGTTGCCGTTTTACCGACTTTTCTGCGGTTCTCATTCCTCATTATTCCCATCGTCACATTCCCAAAGGAGCTCATTTTAACAGCGCTCTTAAGTATTCTGACCGACTGCTAATGTGTATTTCACTGTTACAAATGAGTCCCACTAGAGCAATAACTGTCAGGGCCCTTTTGGATTTAATGGCGCTCACCGAATTATCGTACACGCCAATAAAAGACACGATCAAGCCGAGACGCTGCTCTTAAACACGCTCTGTGATGTCACACGGCAAACACGGACCAGAAAAACACTCATGTATGATTCCAAAAGTGAATTGTGCGGTAGAAATCAACTTGCCATGTCTAGTACATTTCTTCTTAAAATCACGGTAATTTTGTGTTTACAGGAATGGTGACAGTACATGGGGAACATATACTTTATGGCACAAATCAGTAATTTATTGCCCAAGTTTAAGTTTTTAGACAAGTCTGTAACCGACGACAGCTGGTTTTGCCTTGAGCTCTCTCTGATGTCTCTCTCTGTTCTCTCTCTGGTGTCTCTCTGGTCTCTCTCTGGTCTCTCTCTGGTCTCTCTCTGGTCTCTCTGATGTCTCTCTGGTCTCTCTCTGGTCTCTCTCTGGTCTCTCTCTGGTCTCTCTCTGGTCTCTCTCTGGTCTCTCTCTGGTCTCTCTGATGTCTCTCTGATGTCTCTCTGGTCTCTCTCTGGTCTCTCTGATGTCCCTCTGGTGTCTCTCTGGTATCTCTCTGGTATCTCTCTGGTCTCTCTCTGGTCTCTCTCTGGTCTCTCTCGTCTCTCTCTGGTCTCTCTCTGGTCTCTCTCTGGTCTCTCTCTGGTCTCTCTGATGTCTCTCTGGTCTCTCTCTGGTCTCTCTGATGTCCCTCTGGTGTCTCTCTGGTGTCTCTCTGGTATCTCTCTGGTATCTCTCTGGTCTCTCTCTGGTCTCTCTCTGGTCTCTCTGGTCTCTCTCTGGTCTCTCTGATGTCTCTCTGGTCTCTCTCTGGTCTCTCTGATGTCTCTCTGGTCTCTCTCTGGTCTCTCTGATGTCTCTCTGGCAGAGGTGGGACAAAGTCATTGTTTAGCAAGTCACAAGTCAGTCTCAATTCATTGCCCTCAAGTCCCGAGTCAAGTCACGAGTCAAGACAGGCGAGTCCCGAGTCGAGTCCAAGTCAAAGGCCAACAAATCTCAAGTCAGTCCCAAGTCCTACGGTTTGACTTTCGAGTCCTCTCGAGTCTTTTTGACCGCGATTTGTTTCTTGTTGGTCTCCACGTACTTTTGTAGGCAAACAAAATAATGTTAGGAATCATTTTGCTGGTGCATTCTCGTTGGTCTCTGACCCATGGACTAACAGTTTGTTCCATGTCGTTGGCTGCTGGTAAATCAAAACTATCTACGTGATCTAATTGGATGTTGTGCCAGATGCAGGCTCAGTTACACATGCACAGACCACACATAAAATCAGAGCAGTCCGTGTCAACATACTTTTTTATCTTTGGGGTTTTTAATGGGAAGTAGCAAGTGCAGCATATATGAATATGAGTATTGGGCTAGGACCTGTATCTATATAATCAGTTTAATGTCCGTAGTGGTTATTGTTCCAAAGGACTGAAGGGACCAATGGAGGGGAAGGACCCCGGCCTGTATGAACTGGGCCAGCATTAGTAATATCTCATAATTACCAATATATCATTACATAATAAAATGTCTCATATAAATTAATTCAATCAGTCAAAGCACTGATTCTCATATCAATGCACCATAAACAATAGTGCAAATATTAATCTAGCTTAGTGCACATAATCAAAACAACTATCTAATGTATGCAAACTTTAGCAGGAGGAGCACAGCAAAAACATACTCATAATAATAGGCCTCGGCGCCCACACAGAAAAATATAAGAAAGAGCCAACAGAGCAGCGCAGGCTAGCGCTAGTTTGACTCACCAGTTCCTCTTTAAAACACGGCACAGAGTGTGACAACTGCGTCGATTCAATTGTATGAGGCGCCTGTAGTGAAAGCATATCAATTACGGTTTGTAGAACAAAGTATGACGTTAGGTCGCGATAAATACCTGCAGCTCGCTCATTTCCAGCTCCCCTAGACAACACACCCACCGGTGAATGCAGTGCGCTTGTTTAGGGAAGTGTTGCTGCGCGAACTTGCGGGGAACTCACGTTCGAACTCTCTCGCGAGCGCTACAACTACCGCGAGGCTTTGTTTCTTCAGAGACGGCATAGATAGAAAGAGAGATGCGGAGAAAGGTAAAAATGGCCCGGGTTACGCAAGTCTTTGCAAGTCAATTGGCGCAAGTCCAAGTGAAAGTCAGAGTCATTGATGTTAAAGTCCAAGTCGAGTTGCAAGTCTTTTTACATTTGGTCAAGTCGAGTCTAAAGTCATCAAAATCATGACTCGAGTCTGACTCGAGTCCAAGTCACATGACTCGAGTCCACACCTCTGCTCTCTGGTCTCTCTCTGGTCTCTCTCTGGTCTCTCTGATGTCTCTCTGGTCTCACTGATGTCTCTCTGGTGTCTCTCTGGTCTCTCTCTGGTCAGATAGTTTTGCCTTGAGCTCTGTAATTGGAATGTTATTTAAGTCATCATTTTAATATAGTAATATGTTTAGAGGCTAAAATATATTGTATTGAAATCCACTGTTGCTTCAAGCCAGTCTTCTGGGCGACGGGGGCTGTGTGCAGATGGGACCAGGCTAGGCCACTGTTTCTTTGATTGATATGCTAAATACCACAGGTGCTGCTTTAAAACTGTATGTACTGTACGTATGAAAGGGGGCAGGGCTTGCAGCATAGCAAAAAGAAGTCTGAGCTTTGTCTGAGTCAGATCTGATTTTAAAAATCCCTTCTCCCTGGAAAAGGCAACCAAGATTAAAAATGTGGTTTTGCAGCAATAACAAGCTCTCATAAGGTTCTCCTTCTTCAGATGATGTCACACAATCAGCAAATTTACAGCCTGTTGTTACATGGATCTGAGCCGGATGCAAAAGTGCAACATTTGCTCCATTTCCCATTCAGGGATCGATACCTGCGAGCTATGTTTCTTTAAATTAAACCCCTCCCCCTTCATGCCTCCACATTGGGTTAGTCCATTATTGGATAGTCTATACAGATTGTAGATACACAAAAGAAAGAGAGACCAGTAGGAGATGAGAGAGAGAGACCAGAGAGACAGCAGAGAGAGACCAGATGGAGAGACCAGAGTGAGAGAGAGATACCAAAGAGAGAGAGAGAGACTAGAGAGAGACCAGAGAGAGACCAGATGGAGAGACCAGAGTGAGAGAGGGATACGAAAGAGAGAGAGAGACCAGAGAGAGACCAGAGAGAGACCAGAGAGAGAGAGGGATACGAAAGAGAGAGAGAGACCAGAGAGAGACCAGAGAGAGACCAGAGAGAGAGCGAGAGAGAGATACCAGAGATACCAAAGTAAGAGATCAGAGAAAGAGAGAGACCAGAGAGAGATTATCCTGCGCTGATGAGAGAGTATTCAGAGTTAGAACTACATGACCTCACAAACAAAAGAGCAAAATGTATTGAAAAGAACGAACAAATCTGCCAAACAGGGAGAGACCAGAGTACATTACAAAACACATGTTAAACCAAGTATTCGTTGTTCTGTAAGTATTCTCTCCAACACCGTGATACCCATACCCTGTCTCTTTCAGTTACTACACATGTCTTTGTCCACACACACACAGACACACACACACACTCACAACGGGTCCTACCTCCTCCTCCACAGTACGACAGGCTCAGGGCACGTCAGCTCCAGCTTATCTGTCCCCAACCAGAGTTCCTCTTCCTCCTCCTCTTCCTCCTCCTCCTCGCACAGGAGAGCCGTACCTACAGTAGCAGTGGTACAATGAATGAAACATCACCGCAGTACTGTAAGCGCACAGCAGGACTAATGGTTCTGCAGTTTCTCTGTGTGTGTGTGTGTTTGTGTGTGTGCGTGTGTGTATATGTGTGTTAAACGTCTATGGGACTATGTTAGATTTGAATCCACAAAAGTGCAAAAATGGGATCTTCAAAGATTTTTATTTTGTTGAATCTATATTCTGTGGTTCTACTTTTGCTATGATTATTATGAGCTGGTGTGGTCTGGTCTCTCTGGAGTGTCTTTGGTTTTTCTCTGGTGTCTCTGGTGTCTCTTTGGTGTCTCTCTAGTCTCTCTTTGGTCTCTTTCTAGTCACTCTCTCCGGTATCTCTCTGGTTTCTCTCTGGTCTCTCTCTGGTCACTCTCTGGTCTCTCTCTGGTCTCGCTCTGGTCTCTCTCTGGTCTCTCTCTGGTCTCTCTCTGGTCTCTCTCTGGTCTCTCTCTGGTCTCTCTCTGGTCTCGCTCTGGTCTCTCTCTGGTCTCTCTCTGGTCTCTCTCTGACGTCTCTCTGGTGTCTCTCTGATGTCTCTCTGGTGTCTCTCTCTGGTGTCTCTCTGGTCTCTCTGGTGTCTCTCTGGTCTCTCTCTGGTCTCTCTCTGACGTCTCTCTGGTGTCTCTCTGATGTCTCTCTGGTCTCTCTCTGGTCTCTCTCTGGTCTCTCTCTGACGTCTCTCTGGTGTCTCTCTGATGTCTCTCTGGTGTCTCTCTCTGGTGTCTCTCTGGTCTCTCTGGTGTCTCTCTGGTCTCTCACTGGTCTCGCTCTGGTCTCTCTCTGGTCTCTCTCTGGATATGGACTTAAACAAGTCCATTCAAATATTTGTGAACTTCTTCTGAATCCAGTTTTAGTGATGTGTTGTTGTTCAGTGTGTTTCTTTGTCCTTGCTTCTGCACAGTCGGTGTTGTAATATTTGTATTTGACATAAACACAATTTTGATGATGAGTTTGTCTCTTTATTGTGAACCCCATTTACTCGAGAAAAAGAAAAAAAACACATTTAAGATACACACATTTAGAATAAACAGGTTGCATAGTCAAACTGTTAAAACCCGGGGGCCAGATACAGTCTGATTCATGTTTCCATGCAGCCCTCAAAACTTTTCCCATCCACAAACATCACACCATCTCCCTCCATTTCAACGAATGGAAATCACCACCCAATGAAGGCTCTGAACTTCAGGAGTGCAAAAGACGAGCCAACACTCTCAACCTAAAGATAACACTGGATATGTTTAGACTTCACACATTTTTGTTGCATCTTACCCTAACGCCAACCCAAGCAGCTTACATTCAGGAGAAAGTAATTGCCCCTGATCTATCCATAATAGTATAAATCCTTCAGACTTCTGATAGACTTCTCTGGGAGTTTGGCCAGACCTTAATACCTTTCTGCATTGGACTCATATTATAAACCAGGGGTCTCCAGACTTTTTCAATCTGAGAGCTACTTTTATTCAACCAAAGCCAGAGAGCTACTCCTTTACTCCCTAATAAATAAGCCAAAACAAATATATACCATACTGTTATATTTATACTTACAAGAGATATGTAATGATTCATAATGTATTAATTCAAGATCATGTGTTAAATTCTAAACACTTTGGGGAGCAACCTGAAAGGGGCTAGTGAACTACTGGTAGCTCCCAAAACACATGTTGGAGACCCCTGTTATAAGCCATATTTTTCACTAAGGTACGCAAAACAAGACTTTATTATGATGGCTAAACAAACACTGCAAAGGTTCCAAGGCTTTTGTGAGATTGTGAGGTGACTCCTTGGGCTGTGGTGAGGGTGAGGGAGGGTTGGCAGAAGGATGTCCTCTCTCAGAACCTTCTTTCATTCTCTGACATATGTTCATTTATAAATCATGAAGCCTGGTTTATTGTCCTCCGTCAAATCAAGGCAAAAGTGCTGCGCAGCTTTTTGTGGCTCTCAATCAATCAGTCGGTCCATCTAATCAAATGCACTTTATTGCCCCAAAGAGGGATTGGTTTGGGCAAAGTGCCGAGAGGATGCAGAACATGCAACTGTAAAACGGCTAGAGACACAGAATAAACACAGAAATAACAAATAATATAATGTAACCCTTGTATGTAGCGGGCGGGACACTTGTTTTGTACTTCTGTTTTGGTTTCTTTCGTTTTTTGCTACCATGGAAACCGGCAGGAGCGAGGTCCTGATTGAGCAGATCGCCGCGAGCGCCTTTTGTAAACAAGCACTGAACTCCCGCCAGATGGATTTCACTCTCTGGTCTCTCTCTGGTCTCTCTCTGGTTTCTCTCTGGTTTCGCTCTGGTCTCTCTCTCTCTAGTCTCTCTTTGGTCTCTCTCCGATTTCTCACTGGTCTCTCTCTGGTCTCTCTTTGGTCTCTCTTTGGTCTTTCTCCGATTTCTCACTGGTCTCTCTCTGGTCTCTCTTTGGTTTCTCTTTGGTCTCTCTCCGATTTCTCACTGGTCTCTCTCTGGTCTCTCTTTGGTCTCTCTTTGGTCTCTCTCCGATTTCTCACTGGTCTCTCTCTGGTCTCTCTTTGGTCTCTCTTTGGTCTCTCTCCGATTTCTCACTGGTCTCTCTCTGGTCTCTCTTTAGTCTCTCTTTGGTCTCTCTCCAATTTCTCACTGGTCTCTCTCTGGTCTCTCTTTGGTCTCTCTTTTGTCTCTCTCCGGCTTCTCACTGGTCTCTCTCTGGTCTCTCTTTGGTCTCTCTTTAGTCTCTCTCTGGTCTCTCTCTGGTCTCTCTTTGGTCTCTCTCTGGCTTCTCACTGGTCTCTCTCTGGTCTCTCTTTGGTCTATGTTGTATCTTAAGTCTGTGTAGGTTTTCCTCCGGGTGCTTCGGTTTCCTCCACCACTAAAACATGTACGAGTTCCCAATAACGCAACCTCTCACTGGGACCTTGTAAATAAACAAATAACGCTAACAGCTAAGCAGCCTGCTCGGGTCTCACTAGCATCTTGGTATTTTGGGGAAAACTTTGAGTTGCCTGGTGTAAAAACTGCACAATACAAATTATTCCTTGTTTTTTTCCTAATTTTAGAATCGCGCCAATTGAACCCAACATTGGAAGACCGGTACATACAAGCCTTTTCGTTGCCTCTTCGGTCAAATGTACAAAAAAGTCATGCAGAACCATCTTTCCTCCCCATACATTTTGTTGTAGACCTCGGCTTCAACATATTGAGAAAGTAAAATACATCATAAAGTATTACTACACTGTAAAACTTTATGATCCAAACAAAATATATCTAAGAGGTTCCAACGTTTGCTTGCGTTCTGGCAGCAATGAGGCCTTTTTGTGCACGTCCATAAACACAGCGCACCTTTAGCCACATCCCGTTCATTCAGACTGCTGCTAACCACTCTGCCGTCCGCTTCACAGCAGTTAATTTGATAAGTGGAGGCTCGCCGCTTCATATTCCGGACAATTAAACCCAGATCTGAAGAACGGGGTCGGACTAAACGTCTGGATCGCCGTCTTTTATGAGAGGTATATGAATTATAATGCGTCACTTAAATGAGCCATATCCGCTGAACCTCGTGGCCTTCTTTATGACTTTTGAATTATAGAGGCCTTTGTGGGGATTTGAAATTGATTAGCGTTAACATTTGAAACTAAAAAGGACACCATGTACCTTTTACCGTCTCATAATTGTTTTCCGCTCTGTTATTTAGAGCGATTGAGGTCAGAAAATGGACAGTTCTCATTCTGCCCACAGCTGCCGACTCTGTAATACATGTATATAGAAGCACATGCAGGCATTTTGGCACACATTTAAAAAAAATATATATATCTGCAGTTCATACACATACAAAAGGCGTCTCAAAGTGCTCAACAAAACAAGACAAGAAGCAAAACAAGACAAGAAGCAAAACAAGACAAGAAGCCATGGTGCACACAAGCAACACAAGTTTTCTTCTGATTTTAGGGTAACTGTTTTGTTATACTATAGCAGTTATATGATGGCGTTATGGACAAGACCAGAGAAAGATCAGAATGAAACCAGAGAGTAAGACACATCAGAGAGAAAAAGAGGGCAAAAGGCCGAAGAGTCCAGAGAGTGAGACCAGAACGAGACCGGAGAGAGACAGACTAGGTAGAGAGAGAGAGAGAGAGAGAGACACCAGAGAGACACCAGAGAGACACCAGAGAGACGAAAGGAAGCTGCCATGATATACTAGTGGTTCTAGGATGTCGTTAGAGTATATACGCTGCAAAAGACCAGAGAGAGACCAGAAATAGACCAGATAGAGAGACCAGAGAGAGACCAGAGTAAGAAAGAAAGACAGACCAGAGAGAGAGATACCAGAGAGACCAAAGGTAGCTGCTATGATATACTAGTGGTTATAGGATGTTGTTGGAGTATAGAGAGCGAGACCAGAGAGACAGACCAGAGATATAAAGAGAGAGACTAGGAAGAGACCAGACAAAGAAAGAAAGACAGACCTGAGACAAAAGAGAGAGACCAGAGAGACGAAAGGGAATTATACGCTCTGAATAACCAGAGAGACCAGAAAAAACAGAGACCATAGAGACTGAAGGAAACTATGGTCTCGAAGGTAACTATATGATGTTGTTTGAGTACACAAAGGTAAACATTCTAACTTATGGAAGAAACTAAGTCTAGAGAAGTAAGCTTAAACAATTTGTTGTTGATTTAAATTATGTTGAGAAGTGTTGATGCATGAGTACCAGGAGTTGGTCATGAAGTAACCAGATACCAAACACCAGCAGCATCATGACATGACATTGTTTTGGCCTGCTCCTCATATTTGTATTCTGCCACTGGCACATCCGCATTGTCATTCCACAGCGCGCGCCTCCGTTATTAAATTGTGATTTCCAGAAATGTGTGTGTGCGGCTTCACACAGTCGTCTTGTCATCACACTCAAACTCTGCGGTGAGCAAGAGCCGTTAGCATAGCCGCAGTCACCGCCACCCGGGGATCTGGACCATGGATCTGACCCGAGAGATTAGGACTGGGGATGTTTCGGTGCCTGTCGATACCAGGGACTGATAATTCAATAGGATTCGATACAATATGTTTTTGATCGATTCAATTAGGTTCATAGCCCTAAATCACAGCAGTAGCCATCTCGGAGGACATTACACAACTTTTGAATTCGCCAACCCATAGAGCTTTTGGTTCCTTGCACACTGTCATGTCATACTACAGCTATGGTTATATGATGTTGTTAGAGTTTACACAAGACCAGAGCGAGACCAGAAAGAGAGAGACACACACAACAGAGAGAAAGAGAGAGAGACCAGAGAGACTAAATGAATCATGTTATATTAGCAGTTGTATGATGTTGCTGGAGTCTACACACGGCTAAAGACCGAAAGTCCAGAGAGAGAGACCAGAAAAAGATCAGAGAGAGACCAGAGAGAGAGAGACCAGAGGGAGAGAGACCAGACAGAGAGAGACCAGAAAAAGATCAGAGAGAGAGAGAGACCAGAGGGAGAGAGACCAGACAGAGAGAGACCAGAGGGAGAGAGACCAGAGGAGAGAGAGACCAGAGAGAGAGAGACCAGAGGGAGAGAGACCAGACAGAGAGAGACCAGAAAAAGATCAGAGAGAGAGAGAGACCAGAGGGAGAGAGACCAGACAGAGAGAGACCAGAGGGAGAGAGACCAGAGGAGAGAGAGACCAGAGAGAGAGAGACCAGAGTGAGAGAGACCAGAGAGAGAGAGACCAGAGGGAGAGAGACCAGAGAGAGAGAGACCAGAGGAAGAGAGACCAGAGGAGAGAGAGACCAGAGAGAGAGAGACCAGAGGGAGAGAGACCAGAGAGAGAGAGACCAGAGGGAGAGAGACCAGAGGGAGAGAGACCAGAGGGAGAGAGACCAGAGAGAGAGAGACCAGAGGGAGAGAGACCAGAGAGAGAGAGACCAGAGAGAGAGAGACCAGACAGAGAGAGACCAGAAAAAGATCAGAGAGAGAGAGAGAGACCAGAGGGAGAGAGACCAGAGGAGAGAGAGACCAGAGAGAGAGAGACCAGAGGGAGAGAGACCAGAGGAGAGAGAGACCAGAGAGAGAGAGACCAGAGGGAGAGAGACCAGAGAGAGAGAGAGACCAGAGGGAGAGAGACCAGAGAGAGAGAGACCAGAGGGAGAGAGACCAGAAAGACTAAATGAATCATGTTATATTAGCAGTTGTTTGATGTTGCTGGAGTCTACACACGGCTAAAGACCGAAAGTCCAGAGAGCGAGACCAGAAAAAGATCAGAGAGAGACCAGAGAGAGAGAGAGACCAGAGGGAGAGAGACCAGACAGAGAGAGACCAGAAAAAGATCAGAGAAAAAGAGACCAGAAAAAGATCAGAGAGAGACCAGAGAGCGAGAGACCAGAGGGAGAGAGACCAGAGAGAGAGAGACCAGACAGAGAGTGACCAGAAAAAGATCAGAGAGAGACCAGAGAGAGAGAGACCAGAGAGAGAGAGACCAGAGAGAGAGAGACCAGAGAGAGAGAGACCAGACAGAGAGAGACCAGAAAAAGATCAGAGAGAGACCAGAGGGAGAGAGAGACCAGAGGGAGAGAGACCAGAGAGAGAGAGACCAGACAGAGAGAGACCAGAAAAAGATCAGAGAGAGAGAGAGACCAGACAGAGAGAGACCAGAAAAAGATCGGCGAGAGACCAGAGAGAGAGACACCAGAAGGAGACCAGAGCGAAACCAGAGAAAGAAAGAGGGACTGACCAGAGAGAGAGAGACCAGAAAAAGATCAGAGAGAGACCAGAAAAAGATCAGAGAGAGACCAGAGAGAGAGAGAGAGACCAGACCGAGAGAGACCAGAAAAAGATCAGAGAGAGACCAGAGAGAGAGAGAGAGAGAGACCAGACAGAGAGAGACCAGAGAGAGAGAGAGAGAGAGACCAGACAGAGAGAGACCAGAAAAAGATCAGAGAGAGACCAGAGAGAGAGAGAGAGACCAGACCGAGAGAGACCAGAAAAAGATCAGAGAGAGACCAGAGAGAGAGAGAGAGAGACCAGACAGAGAGAGACCAGAGAGAGAGAGAGAGAGACCAGACAGAGAGAGACCAGAAAAAGATCAGAGAGAGACCAGAGAGAGAGAGAGAGACCAGAGAGAGAGAGAGAGACCAGACAGAGAGAGACCAGAAAAAGATCAGAGAGAGACCAGAGAGAGAGACACCAGAAGGAGACCAGAGCGAAACCAGAGAAAGAAAGAGGGACTGACCAGAGATGGAGAGAGCAGTTATTAAGGTATCTAGGATAATTTTCCCGAATTTTAGAAAAGAACCGCCCTGTCCAAAGGGAATGCTTACTGAAACATATGACGGCCTCTTGTCACATATCACCAGAATGATTGACAGTTAGGTTGTTGATTATGTTATCACCACCTTCGTCCTCAGACCCTCCTGCGTCAGCGAAGAACAAGGATTTTGAAATGATTCACTTTCAATTCAATTTAAGTCTATTTGTTTTTGCGCAGCTTTCAACCACAGCAGCAGTCGTCTCGAAGAACTTTACAAACTTTTCCGATTCACTGACTTTTATCACGTATAAATGAGACACGATGGGTGTTTTATAAATACAGACAAATGCCAAACCAATAATGTTCATATTTTTATCCCTTTTCAATGAAGACAGGCAATTATCGAGCCCTTACGCTCTCTCTTGAAACTATTTTCTTTGGCTTTTCATGTTTTAAGATGCAGAATGTGCTTTTAAATAGACAATATGGATCATTTAAGATATCACAATTTTATATCTTGTAATATTTTGAGAGAACTTTCACCAGTGCAGGTCGAGCAGCACAAAAAAACAGCCTCTTACAATACTTACAAGTGCAAATAAGTTAGAATATTTAGTGTGTGTTCAAATTCAGTTTATAGTGCAAGAATAAACAATGACAATGTTTCCGGGTCAATATATTCAGCCCAATACAGAATGTATAAATAGTCTATGTTGAAGAGAGCAGATACACCCCAGGCTGCAGAATATACGGGTGTCAGGATCATGAGAAATTCAAAAAGGTGGAAAAGGTTCATACAGTGTGGAAAGGAAAGCTGAAACAGAACAGATCTAACATGTTTTATCACCGTGGAGTGTTGTCCCCATATTCATTGTTGGTTTCTGATATACATTCGATTTTTTTTCTTGTTCTTGTTGTACATTTGACATGTTATGTGTGATTATATTGTTTTCCTTTGTCTCTGTCATTTTGTTATGTTTTTCTATCATCATCATGTTCTATTTGATCATTTGATATATTACTTATTTGTTTCTGTTTTTTGTATTTATTTACCTCTTTTTTTTTAAAACCATTTTTTGTTTTTTCTTATGTGATTCATATGTCCCAATTGATTATTTTTCATTTTTATTTTATTTGTTGTGCATAGATTCTTTTTGTTGAAGGGCTTTAGAACAATCCGCTACATTATTTTTGTTTGATGT